ATATTAAATTTGATTGGTTGGGAAGATTTCGGAAGCGATCTGCATTTCGTGTAACCTTGACGGTCGCTCCTGTTGGTGTAGACAAATCGGAAATATAGGTCCGAATGTTACACAAAAAACGATTTTGATGGGTAAACTAGGAGTGAATTTTTTAGGAATCTAAAGAGTAAAGAAGAGAGTTTTGATATTTTCGATTTTAAAATGATCAATTTTTGGTCAATCTTGATGTATTATATCTTGTTTTGAAGCCAGAGATTAGCTCTACAAATTCAATTATGAGGTATCAGTATATTATTAAGTCCAGTTTTCCAGAAACGGCAGAACTTTGGAGGGAGAACAGAGTTTTGTCCGTCTGTTTTTGTAAATCAAGTATCTCAAGAATAATGAGAGATACAGACTCGAAATTTTATATATATATGTAAAAACAGTAGCTGAACAAATGTTATTAAGAGACAAAAGGTTGTTAACTTAATAAAATTTTCCGTAAATTAAGAAAAACTTAAAAATTATTGTGACGAAATTTTGTGTATAGATGATGATCAGAAAGAGTTTTTTTTTCCGCATAAATTTTAAAATTTTTAAAAAATATTAATTAAATCAATTTATAATAAAATATATACAAACCCAAGATAAGTTCTTATAGCTAAATAATTTCTGAGAACTTCAGCAAAATTAATGCTTGTTTGGCAAGATTTGAGTAGAGAGGTAATGCAGTTTTAAATATCTAAATGAACTCTATAAGAACAAAGTAGTTTGGAAATGATGTAATTTGATCATAAAAATATAAAATTTATTTAATAAAGAATCTTTTTGTAGCTGATTAATAGCTGCTAAGTCTGCCAGTAAAAAGGGTCTGCTCTTTTAATTATTATATAGTCTAAAGAAAACTAGATTAGCTATTAAGTAATAAGCAAAAACAGAAGATACTAGTCTGGATATTCTCTTTCTTTCCTATAACCAGTTGTACTTTAAATTAGTTCCTTAATAAAAAATTAAGAAGTGATTTGCTATGTGAAAATAGTTATACAAGATGTATAAAATAGTTAGAATAATATTACCTTAATACAAAAATTATAATTATCATTATATATATAGCAAAATTAAAAATAAAATAAAATAAAATAAAAAAACATATAAATATATCTGTCTTTTTTTAGTAAGTATTGCTATAGCAATAAGTCAACAATATTTTATCTTAGTAATAAACTGTTTTTTCTTATAAAATTATTATAAATACATTATTTAACTATTCAAACATCTAATCAAGTAAGGTAACTTGTTAACTAAAGGTTTAACTTGTTATATTACAATATAAAAATCAACTTACATACTCTAGCTAGGACCTCAAAGATCTCTGATATAACTTAAATCTGAGTTTATATAATATCAACCAAAAAAGATGTATAAAATCAATCAAAAATTAAAAAATTTATTATATAAAAATATAATATTTAATAAATTTCTATACAAAAATATCTTTTTAGTAATATTTGAGTTATATAAAAATACTTCAGAATTCTCTCTAATCCTATCTATTGCCTCTTGTAATATACTTAATTCATAATTTGCATGTAAACCAGTGAATGATCATATGAAAATCAAGTGATTTTTACTATTAAATTTAATCTTCTTTAGAATCTAGAGTTTCCCAAAGGACAAATTATTTTTTTGCTACATAAACCCTCTTTTGCTTCTAACAAAAGTTATAGAGAAGGAAATTACAGTTCTAATAGTGGTTAAAACGCTAATATTGGCTTAGTAGATCATGAGATATAAGTATTTTAATTTTCGCGACTATATATTTTCTTTGTTTACATAAAGAAAAAACAATAGCCACGAAAATTAAAATGCTTATATCTCATGATCCACTGAGCCAATTTTGACGGTTTAACTACCATTAGAACCGGAATTTCCTTCTCTACAACTTTTATTAGAAGTAGAAGAGATGTTTACTTAGTAAAAAAATGATTTGTCCTTTGGGAAGCTCTAGATTCCAAAAAGAGCAAAAATTATATAGTAAACATATCCCCACCATTTATTATGCTTTTTCGTTGGTTCACATGCGGATCACGAATTAATAATATAAAAAGTTCTATAGCTAAAGATAAGTCAGAATATAAGCTCAAATATCTGTACTTTTACTATTTTAGAATATTGGTTGCCTACTCTTGTTAATTAATAAAATATACAGTACTAAAATATAAGCGATACAAGTAAGTACGTATCTTCCTAACGTAGTGTACCCGGTACACTAAAATATCCTCTATTTCCACTAAACAAAAGAAAGACCTTCCTATTTACAAGAATACTTATTATTAGCTATATACTATTTACGCAAATATATAAAAGTCTAATTAAAGTAACTTATAACTATACTAAATTATATTTCGTCACAGTATATTACTAAATAAAAAGTAATACTGTATGTATTTTTTTTTTCAACAGCTTGGTTGTCTTTATTTGAGTGTCGCTAAAAGAAAACCCGAAAATTTAAATATAAGTCATATTTAAATTTTCGGGTTTTCTTTTAGCGACACTCAATTTGGTAACATAGTAATTTTGAAACCCGCATAATTCGCTACCGGATCATAATTCTGGACACCCTAATTGCATTGTGTTAGAAGATAAATTGCTTTGATTGGCTATTCCTCATAATTTTTGTTTTATATAAATCACGGAGAATACGTGAATTTGTCCGTCTCTTTTATTTGCGGAAAAGTTATTTCATTTTTTAGCGACAATTTTTAAGCTCAGAGTTTTTTCTTTCTGTTCGTTTGGAATATGAAGTGCGTTCATTGCAAACTAGATAAACTCTCTAAGGAGTTTCCACCCACTACCGTTACAGAAAAGTGCCAACATATTTCTTCCTTTTGTTTGCGAGTAGGTCAACTATATACCTTAAATTGCATTAATTTTTCGTGAATGTCGAATTAACCGTAAATTTGTTCTTTGGGTTATTATTATCAGTGTCTGATAACACAAATAGACTCCGTACAAAATAAGCAACAAGCCAAATGTCCAGAATGTAATTCATTAATAAATCCTCAAGAAATGAAAGCACTCAATTTAGCATGGGAGAAGGCACCTTTTAAAATCGACGTAGAAAGCATTGGTAGAGTTCATTCGCCAGCAATTCAACAACCGGATGGCACCCCTCTAAAAGGTGACTTCTATATTGTAATGTTGAATGGCCAAAAAGTGACTATGAAACTGGAAGAAAATAAAACCGTGTTAGCTTTGAGAGCTTCTGTAAATAAGCAATTAAAAGTTAATCAAACAAAACAAAAGTTGATTTATCGCGGTAAAGAGCTGGAGGTATGTGGAAATTTTAATAAAACTCTTAACGATGAATATTGCTTTAAAATTGATTTGAGTTCATAGGATACTCAACAAAATCGTGCGAGCAATTTGTCAGATTATGGAATTGGTCCGGGCAGTCATATTCAGCTCATTGTTGTGCTTTATAGTATTACAAAGGCCGAGTCAATTAAAAATTTAACATTCGATTTATCTTGGGGATATCCCGTAAATGGAGCACAGGATTATCTTGACGGGAGTTGTCTGTTATATGCAGGCGACACATTTTGGAGAAAATACGATTACGCATCTGTATATTATCCTTCATTCCCCCATATGAGACATTCTGGAGACGTAATGGATAATGCAAGGAGGACAGGTTGGTAATGGTATTATATTTAATAGGATTTTTTCTGATTCATCATCAATGTATTTGATGTTTTCTCATAAACACTAGGGAGCCAGCGTATCACAGCTAAGCTCGATCAACTTCCTCCCGAAGTTACCCAACTTTACTTTGTTCTTAGCTCATGGAAGTCTCCAACTATTGGTCATTTTCAAAGACCAAGCTTTAAGTTATTTGATGAAACGCAGCCTGATAAAGATTTGTGTAATTACACTCTTGCCGAAGCGGCAAATTCACAAGCTGTTATCATGTGTTGTGTATCAAGAGTTGGCAACACAGGAATGTGGCAAGTTATTCGGATTGGAAAATTGTCAGCTGGAAATGCAAACGATTATGATCCCATTGAGATTAGTATCGGTGAATGTCAATTAAACTCCTAATGTAATTATGTATAAAGATATTTTTGTGTTTTTATTATTGTACTATATTATCAAGTGGATATGTAGAATTGTTTATTGTCTGATCTAGCCCGATCACGTGCTTAGTTTGTTCAGCCTAGAGTTTGGAACCGGATTTCGTTTTTCGATTCGAAATTTGTTTAATTAATAAAAATATGCATCGGATTTTAATCCGAATTTATTCGATAATATCCGGTTGTGCCCAGGGATGGTAAATGACCTGGTCATTTGATCAAAATTTAAATGACCTCAAGTCATTTGCATATAAAGCAGTTTTATTGGTTGAATTACTCATAAAAAAGTTATTGATAATCGTAGCTATATATTAAAGCTGATCAAGATCATAAATTTTGTGAATTTTGAAAATTTTCATGTAAATTGAATACCTTTTTATTAATTCACTTTCGCATATTACATTTATACAAAAATTTTTAAAATCTTTTTATATAAACATAAGATGTGGAAGTGAATTAATAAGAAGTTATTCAATTTACAAATATTTCAAAGCATATGCAATGTTATTATCCTAAATGACTTTATGCATAATTTAGTAAAATTTTGATATTGATATATAGCTACGATGATTGATTATATTCTTAATAAAATTTAATAAAATTTAATTTGTTTTTTGGCCAATTCTAATTGGTTAAAAAATATTAGGATATTAGTTAATAGGGATGTTAAAAGTCCGGTCCGGTCCCGACTCGACTCCAGGAGTCGAGTTTTAATTTTGACTCGGTCCCAAG